CCCCGCCAGCCACGGGCCGCGCCGTGGCCGCGGCAAGCACGGCGGCCGCCGCCGACCGCGGGGGCGGCGGCGGCGAAAGCGCGACGCCGCAGCCGGCGGCGGCATCGGCGTCGCTGAAGCGCACGCGTCGGCGAGGGCCGGCGTCGGCGGGCGCGGCAAAGGCGCCGGCGCCACCGGCGCTCCGGGTGCGGAGGATCCCACGCGGGCAGGCGGGGGACGCAGGGCAGCAGGGGGGCACACTCGCATGCACATTCCCGCCATCGCTGCACTCCATGCCGCATGGGAAGGCCCCAGGCTGCGCCGCTGACTGGTCGGGCACGCCGCGGCGCGGCGACGCATCGGCCGGCGGCGCCGAGGCCTGCCCGCGCTCGCCATGCGCATGGGGCTGGGCCGGCTTCATGGGTTGCTGCTGCTGCTGCTGCAGCTGCAGCTGCTGCTGCGACGGCGGCGGCGACAAATCGCGCATGCCCATGCCCATGCCTGGAGCAAGCGCTGCGCCGGGCGGCTGTGCGACGCAGCAGGTGAGGCAGCTTACGCGGAACCGGCCCCGGGTGTAGGCCTGGCGCGCCAGCGCGCGGCGGGGAGGCGCATGCGTGGAAGCAGGGGGGCGTCGCGTCATGCCTCTCGCAGGGTGCGAGTTTCCGTGGTAGGGGCTGCCCCCGCACGGTGCAGCGCCCACGCGGCCACAGTCGCCGCATGGGGATGTACAAGGATGCTCCCGCAGCGATGCGCCGGCTGCTCGCCGTGCCCCATGCGGACTCACAGGGCAGGGCAGCCGCATGTCGTTTCAGCATTGACCGTGCACGGTCCCAGAGGGATGGCAGCGTCGCGGAAGCCCGGGTGGGCGGCTCATCGAGCGAAATACTCACCGTGCTCTTGACCTTTTTGGCGTCCGCCGATCCAGAGGGAGTCGAGAGCCTCTTGCGGCCGGAGCAAAGATCGCTGCCCGCGTCCGGAGCAACCGCCGCCGGCTCCACCCTCACAACGAAACGGCCTCTAACCTTACATTCCATCGCATCCGCCATGGACCCACGGCCTGCGGGCCACAACGACGGCGAATCGCCCACAGGCGTGGATCGCCTGGGACCGGGGTCACAAACCAGCTGATGCTATTTTTTCACAAGACGTGGTTCTGCTTGAGCGTCAGGCTCATGAAGGCTGAGGTCAGGGCTTTGCGGGCACTGTGGTCGAGAGCATTGCGTTTCACAGCTATGCGGGGCTGCGACTGCACGAGGCAGGCGCCGCGCCTTTTAAAACCTACTTTGACTCGGGCAGGCGCAAGCACACCCCTTGATTAACCGTGCTCAAAAAAGTTCGACCGCCCGACTCGCTCCCGGTGAGGTGCTTGCGTGCCCCTACCGGCGCGAGCAGACGTGCATCGCTCTTATGCTCTGAACTGTTGGCACGGCGTGGCTGGGCTAGAGGGGCTCGGCCGGACACCGATACGGTATGGCGTTGGGTGACCCAGAGTTGAGGCGTGAAGCCAGGATACACCCAGCAGTCAGCCCTGCGGGACCTCTGTGCTGCCAGGGGACGCACGATTCGCGTCAATACGGAGTTTTCTATCTATACAATGTGCGGGTAGTGCATAGATGGGTGCATTCAGGGCGCTACATGGGAGCTGACCTGGACGCACGTCACTCGCGGCCGCGAGGGTCTCGGGCCAAGGGCATCCCTGGTGCTGGCGAGGTGAAGGATGCCTGCAGGGTTAAATAGTCGTAGCGGCTCTGTTATATCGCTCCAGGGAGCCTGGCATGCAGCACAGGCGCTGTAAACCCCGCCCCGGGGTGTGAGTGCGCTGAGAGGGGGGGGGGGGGTAAGGGCTCCCCATGTGCTCAGTGCTGGGGCCGCGGCCGATGCCGAAGAAACAAGGGGATTGCAGCTCCAAAACTTGGTCATAGGCACCGCCATCACAATGAAACGTGTGGATGACTGTGCACCCAGCCCACAACGCATATGCTGACTGGATGCACAGCGCGCGCGCGCAGTCCCTCCAAAAAATCTGCATACACCAAGGAATGACTAAGGACGGCGGAACCCCGCCAGAATGACGAGCGGTTTGCAGCGACGCCAAGGCGTAACGCTGAGATATGTGGAGGTGCCAAGGCTCCGAGCCGTCCGCAGTGCGCCCCTGCGGCCCTCTGCCTCGCGCGCCTCGCTGGAGGACAATGGCTCAACAGATTCTCTTTCGACCGCGTCGCCGCGCAGCCATTTGCACAGCCTTCAACAAGTCGGTCAACAGGTCGGTCAACAGGCCGCAAACCGCACATTGCAGGCAGAGCAGCAGCCGGGCTGCAAGGCAGGCGCCAGCGGGGAGGGAGGGGCGCGGCGCAGCAACAGGGCCGGCGCACAGCCCGGCAAGGCCGCCGGTTGACTCAGCCCACCGACGCCTCCTCCCCTGCGCCGCGGCCACCTCCGCCCGGCGCGGCCCTCTCCCCCGCCCTCCGCAGCAGCGACGGCGGGGCCCCGCGCCACGTGCCCGGCCCCGCCGCCCCCGGGGCGCCGCGGCGGCCGGGCCGCCGGCCCTGAACTGGTCCAGAGGCCCCGCGGGGCCAAGCGGCAGGCCAGAGTCACGCGCCCGGGCAGGCAGCAGTAAACCTTGGGTCGACGGGGCGCTGCGGGGCCCTGCAGCAGGCCCGCGTCTCCCTGATACTGCCGCAGCTCGCGCCACCCCGCGTGCGCCGCAGCCGCCCCGGCCCGACAGGGCTGCTCTAGCGTCCTCAGCAGCATCGGCGGCACGCTCGTGACCCCGCAAGCGCGCCCAACCCGGCGCCCCTGGCGCCACGCCGCCCAGGCCGCCGCCATTAAGCAGGTTGGCTGGGCGCGTCAGGGCCCTGCAGCAGGCCCACATCCCCCAAGTACTGCAACAGCTCCAGAGCGAGCGCCTGCGGCGGCCGCGGCGCGCCCGAGGCATCGCGGGCGTCCAGGATGACCTCTGGGGCTGTGGGCTCCTCGTAGGGGTCATCGATGCCTGTGTGCGTGTGTGTGTGTGTGTGTGCGCGTGCGTGTGTGTGTGTGTGCATTGCGTGTGTGTGTGTGTGTGTGTTGTGTATGTAGTGCGAGTGTGTGAGTGTTGTATTGTGTGTGTGAAAACGTGAGCTGTGCGAGTGGATTTGTGTGGGATGATAGGCTGTGTGTGTGCATGTGTGT